CGTCGGCGGGTGTTTCTTCAAATGGGGGTTATTGGAGAAGACAATTGCGGGGGTGTGGGGGGGGGGTCATGTGGGATTTTATTGATTTAATTTGTTTTTAAAAATTTATTTGAGCAAAAATACACGTGTCACTGAGTCATTGGTTACTTTATATTTTTATTCAAAATTCATTTCTACAAATTATTTTTTGACAAATGTCGTCATTTAATTTGCCACTTTACACGTCATCGTGAGTGTAAACACACACCTCATATATTTTTGTTGATTGGCAAAAAAGTGCCAAAATGACACAGCGAAACCCTACATGAGGTGTCTAAAATGAACATCATCCACTTGAGGTGCCTAAGTGAAATTTCGTGCCAAATTTAAGGGGCCACCGATGGGTTAGCCCAAAAATAATCTTATTCAATATTTTTACGGGAAGTAGTATATTATTGTATTTGGGAGTTCTCTTTTGGCAAAGTGTATATTATACTTCAATATAAAGAGAAAAATGAATTTCACATTTGAAACTGATAAAAAATTCAGATTGATTTCTTTAATCATTAGGTGTATTGGATAACTTAAAGGAGAAAAATGAAAAATATTAATTTGTGAATATTATTAGTATCAATAAAAATCAATCTACATTAATTGATATAATGGTAACAATTATGCGGTCTAATAATCTCAAAAAATTATTTGTTCGTAGGTGGCAAATCTTGTCGTTGGAAACTAGTTATCCCAGGATTAACTATCCTTATCTAATCACTATGTTATAAATGGTGGGATAAGTTATTTCAAACATATCAACCAAACAAGATATCTAAATTTTATCTCATGACTATTTTTTTATCCCAAGACTATTTATGCTTATCCCTCACAAGTCATAGGAATTGTTAGAATTGTTTGTAATTCATCTTTAAGGATTCAACTAGATGCCAAATACAGACAATCCTAATGACTCTTATCATATTATATTTGATTTTTTTCTTCTAAAAAGGATAATGTGCCAGTAAATTAACACATTAAAATTAAACTTGATTACTAGAATCTAAAATTATCTTCACCTAATACTTAATGATGAAATAAATTAGAATATAAGATACAATTTGCTAAAGGGTATGTATGGAAGGTAGAATGTGATTGGGTGGGATGTACACATATTTTGTTTCTATTTGTATAGAACAAAGATGTGATTTTCGATCTTAGTTCAAGAAAATACTTTGAAAGAAACACTTTTTTGACTTTCAATTTGAGGTCGGTTTTTGATCAATTCAATGTTGTTTTTGGTAGTGTCGTCTCTTTTAATATATGCTTTCACATTAATTAAAGCATCCTTACTTTTGCTATCTTCGTATTCTAGACATGCAGATTTTTTGACTGACCAACACTTCACCTCATACATCATAGTCAATCTAACAACTACTCTATAAAACTTATCTGTAAGTCTAGTTGGCATGTTATTTCACCCAAGATACTAAATGCAAGACTTCATTTCATCCATTCCGCTCGAATACGAGTGACATCCTCGATGGTGTCACCATTTGAATTATAGACCCAAGATACTTAGAGTCTATTTGGATTGGCCGAAAAAAATAACTTCTAAGTCAAAAAAAAAAAAGTAGGAAGAGTCCTACTTTTGATTTTTAATTTATTTTAAGTCATTTTTACTTACTTAAGTTATTTTTAACTTTGTCAAACACTCTCAAAAGTTAAAAATGACTTCAAAGTAGATTCGATCAACTTTTAAACCAATCTAAACAGACTCGTTAATGTTTTCTCTCTTGTGAATGATTTGTGTATTAATTTTTACTTCCCTATCCTTTTCCTGTGATAATGAACTTGCACTCTTATGTAATTTATTTTAATCATGCGCAACTTGACGTCTTTAGATTGTAGATTTATCTCCATATTCTCAATCTATTGTTAATTCTATTTCATGTCTTGTCGGTCAACACTATATGTATCATTTGTGAATAACATACATCATAATATATCATTTTGAATATATCGTGTCAATTCATTCATGATAAAAATAAGCTGAGAATCAATTCTTGATACAATACCATCTCAAATGAAGGTGGTCTGAATTTCCTTTAACTATCATCATCACTCAGATCTTGATTCCGTCATATTGGCAAACTTTGGTAAATTAAAGATTTCTCAAAAGGTGCCAGTGCAAAGCCTTATTTGTAATATTTTCTCCGAATAAATCGTTAGACATCATTTAATCGAAATGATCATATGTTAATTCATCAAACTAAGAGATATGAGTGTATTTTTATAAACTTTATCAACGACACAACATATTCAATGAACATGTAAGCTAATTGAAGTAGTTTACCACTGTGCAAAGGGAGACAATTTACCTAGTATTCTATACAATAAGAACTAAGAGATACTCCCTCTGTCCTTAATTACTTGTCCACTTTTGAATTAACACCTCTATTAAGAAAACAATTATTGACATAGTGAGTTTACTATTTTACTCCTATTAATTATGAAGTAGAAGAATTAAAAACTTAAGATTGTCAAGAAGTTTTATATTTTTCAAAGTAATTAATTGAGGGCATAGTAGATAAAAAAAATATTTTTTCTTGATTTGTCAAAATGAACAAATAACTAGGGATAACTAAAAAGAAAAAATGAACAATTAATTAGGCCAGTACTGTTTGTTTAAATACCATCTTCCAATTGTATACCATTAAAAAAAAGGTGTACCTCTATTCTAGATATGTAGTTAATGGTTTGGCATTGTTCTTTTAGTTTACCTGTTTAGTTTAACATTTTATTAGTGAATATTAAATTCGACAGAGTAAAGTAATGTTCCGCAATTAATGCTTACCAACCTACAATAATTTGCTATGATCATCAATCAGACATAGTAATATATCACCTATTCATTATCTTTCACAAATATCTTTGTCTTGTTCAACAAATGGACCAAATACAAAGAAAATCACATTGACACAATGTCTTTTTTTTTCTTCTTCTTTTTATTAGGATTTTATAATTTTGAAAAGAATTAAATTATATTTTTAACCATACAAGAATTGGTAAAAAAAATAAAAAAAATAATACCTGATCTGGTGGACCTTCAAGTGTTGTTTCTTGACTTTTAGCCGACTCAAATGCATATCAATTTTTATAGTATTTTTTTGCTTCTTAACTATTTGTTTTTGATTTGATCTGTTTCACTGACTTAAATCAAATCTTGATTCTTTGGCATTTTCTCACCACTTCCCATCTATCCCCAGAGAATCAGCTGAATCAAGAACTGATTTTTAGATTATGTTTTCTTGATTCTTTGAAATGGGAACTTGATTTTCAGTTTTTCAACTCAGATGTTGTGTTCCTTTAGCTGGAAAACTTGAAAAAGGAAAGCCCAGAATGAGAGGAAGTTTAGCTGGTGGACCACCTAGTCCTATTGAACCTAGACAGAGGCTTTCTGTATTCACGTAAGTATCTAGCTATGGTCTCTACTTGTTGAGTTTCCATTGATCTTGATTGAAGTTACTCACTCTACTGATTTGCTTACTTCTTGTCTGTGTTTACGTATCTGGGTGTGCTTGTTTTGCTGTTTGAGCATGTGGGTCAAGATTGGTTTTTGGTTTTAGATTTTGGGGAATGGAGTTGAGTACTGAAGTTTCAGTGGAATCAAGTTCTTTTTTCTTTTGCTTACTCTCATTTACTTCTGAGCATAATTTAGGGGAAAATGAAGAGGGCGGGTTGGGTTTAGTTGTGCTAGTTTATGGATTTTTTGTTTGATAGAATTTTGCATCCAACTGTCACCCAGATCAGAGTTTGGGGCATTGGGTATAAGTATAAGTTCACTTCTTTTTGGGATGATATTGGTATGTGCAGTTAATTCTTGTGCAATTGGTAGATCTCGAAGTACTGAATGTTGCTGACGTTTAGTTGTAGAAATTCTATCTCCTAAATGTGAAATGAAGAGACAAAATGAGTTTGTTGAAAATTGAGATATCTTGAAGAGCTTACTTCTATATAACACTGTTTTTATTATCTCTGCTGCACCTAATTTGTGTCTGATGAGAATCTAGTCATAATAGATCACATCTTTTAGTTGTTTTGACAGCAACCTGTGATGTGAGGTAGTCATGCAACTGCTTTTGTTTTGCTTTTCTGCCTGCTAGTACTTTCTGTTTTATCATTTTCTGTATGCTTGCTGACTTTATGGAAAATTTGGGTGATGAATACCTGCTCATCTGAGAAAAATTATTGAAGTTAGCAGCCTTGTTGAGAGCTTGTATTCAAGGTGAAAATATAAGATGTATCAATCTAGAAGTGTTTGCATGATGTGCTTTTTCAACTACTTTCTTTTGTTTCCTAGTGCCGAAATCCTATTCCTGATGAGTTTTACCTCACATTAGATGACTTCCAATCAATAATGGTATGTGTTGTTTAGATTAAGAGGAAGAGGATGTAATGGAAGGGTATCCTTTGTAATGAGTTTTTTTTCTTCCATTCTGGCATAAAGTTCTATGAGTAGAAAAAGGACACTTGCCACACTTAACCTTCATAAATCTTTTTATTTGGGATAGTGGGGGATCTTTGAATCCTGCAACAAGTGGTTTCTTCCTCTCAGTTACATTGTTAAGTTTTCTTGATAAAAATAGTGGTTTCTTTCCTCTCTATCTTTACCCATGTCAGGTTCGAAATAGCAACCTTTTAATTGTCAGGTTTACATTCCCCGTGTCCTTCTCTTTACCTCTGCGAAATTAGTACGATGCCCATTTTTCTTTTTACTCTTCTCCTGAAAATAGGAGCAAAGGTTGTGAGTTTGTCATCCTTAAAGAATAAAAAAAATCCAGAAATCATCCAACATGATAGTTCTTTCGTCATGTTTAAGATAATGTTTCCTGCTTTTTATATGCTAACCTCTGTTCTTTGTTTTCAGTGAGGAAACAAGCAAAAGAAGGTTCTTGAGAAGTAAAGTTTTCAGAGATGGGGAGAGAGCTCTTCATAGTCCCACCAAAAACAGGAATTTTACCTGCAAGTTCCCAACTGTGAAGCTTATATTGGGTGTTATTGCTCTGGTTGCAATTTGGTCACTCTGGCATTCTCCAGCAATTTATAACACGGAATACATATCTAGTTCAGGCTCTCGGTAAGTATAGGATGTTTTGCCTTTGTTAGTATTTCGTTATGTTAAAAGATAATACCATCAAATGAACTTTCTCAAACATTCTTATCTTGGGTGCCTTCTGGGACCTTCAGATAATTATTTATTGATATTGTGTAAGAACTAATTTAGCCATGATTAATTATCAGTTGGACATATTATTTTCTGATATTCTAAATTTTTTTTTTGCTTCAATGGTGAAAATCCTGATTCTAGGGCTGCTTTGATGCACAGAGAGTTAAGTGGTCATTCTTCAGCTGATCAACGTTATACATCACTTTTAGATATTGACTGGGACCAAATTTCCCAAGTTATTGAGAAACTGGCCGATAGGCATGAGTATCAGGGCGTAGGGATATTAAACTTCAATGACAGTGAAATTGATCAGTTGAAGGAGTTACTACCGGACGCTGAGCATGTAATCTTGAACCTGGATCACGTCCCGAATAATATAACATGGGAAACAATATATCCTGAATGGATAGATGAAGAAGAAGAATTTGAGGTCCCCACTTGTCCTTCTCTGCCCAAAATTCAGTTTCCGGGTAAACCAAGGATTGATCTCATAGTTGTAAAGCTTCCATGCAAGAAGTCTAAGGACTGGTATAGAGATGTAGCTCGTTTTCACTTGCAGCTGGCAGCAGCAAGGCTGGCTGCCAGTAATAAAGGGTATCATCCAATACATGTGCTTCTGGTTACTGAGCATTTCCCAACCCCCAATCTGTTCACCTGTAAAGAGTTAGTTGTACGTGAAGGCAATGCATGGCTATATGAACCTAATCTGAACACTTTAAGAGAGAAGCTCCACCTCCCTGTTGGGTCATGTGAACTTGCAGTTCCTCTCAAGGCTAAAGGTTGGTTCCTGATGGTACTTTTATGTCAGAACACTATAACTCTGATACTGTTTTTTATTTAACAAGTAAAAACTACCAATCTGACCATCCTTTAATTGACCCTTGCAAGACATTGCAGGGTCAAGTTGAGGTAGGTGACATTGTTCCTTTCATATTTCAAAAACTTTAGACTAAAGTTATTTTCCTTCTTTTCTGAAAACATATACAGCTGTTTGTCTAGGCTTCTATCCATCTTCCTGTTTTCTTTCATTTTCCTGGCAATTTGAGGGAGTGTGGGAGTGGAATTAGCAGTTGAGCACCGTTTTATTATTCCACCTAAAATGAAAATAATGAGAGGATTAACCTCCAAGTTCAAGTTAATTTCTCGAGAAATGATAATCAGAATCTAACATCATAAGTTTCTGCAGCAAATTGGCACTCTGGAAATGTAAGACGAGAAGCCTATGCAACTATTCTCCACTCAGCAAATTTTTATGTATGTGGAGCCATAGCTGCAGCACAGAGTATTCGCTTGGCAGGTTCAACCCGAGATCTTGTGATACTTGTTGATGAGACTATCAGTGACTACCACAGGGGTGGTTTAGAGGCTGCCGGATGGAAGATCCACACGATAAAGAGAATAAGGAATCCTAAAGCTGAACAGGATGCCTACAATGAGTGGAACTATAGCAAATTTCGTCTCTGGCAGCTGACAGATTATGACAAAATCATCTTCATTGATGCGGATTTGTTGATACTGAGAAATATTGATTTTCTCTTTGAGATGCCTGAAATAACTGCAATAGGAAATAATGCAACCCTTTTTAATTCAGGCGTGATGGTCGTTGAACCATCAAATTGCACATTTCAGCTGTTGATGGATCATATCAATGAGATTGAATCATACAATGGTGGGGATCAGGGGTATTTGAACGAAATATTCACCTGGTGGCATAGGATCCCAAAACACATGAACTTTTTGAAACATTATTGGGAAGGTGATGAGGAGGAGAAGAAGCAAATGAAAACACGTCTTTTTGGTGCTGATCCTCCAGTTCTCTATGTTCTGCACTACTTAGGCCTGAAACCTTGGTTATGCTTCAGGGACTACGATTGCAACTGGAATGTGGGTAAGTTGCAGGAGTTTGCAAGTGATGTGGCACACAGGACGTGGTGGAAGGTCCATGATGCCATGCCAGATAACTTACATAAATATTGTTTGCTTAGGTCTAAACAGAAGGCTGCACTAGAGTGGGATCGAAGAGAAGCTGAGAAAGCTAACTTTTCAGATGGTCATTGGAAGATCAAAATAAAGGACCCACGTTTGGAGACTTGTTATGAAGAATTTTGCTTCTGGGAAAGCATGTTATGGCACTGGGGTGAAACAAACTGGACAGATAATGCCACCTCTTCACCAACACCTCCCATGGTCAATACTGCTTCACTTTCTTCTTTGTAACTAGGAGGTTCTGTTACTATACCTCGCTAGTCTGTAAGTAATACAGAGTCACAACTTGAATGTCAACCAGTGCCATTAGTATACATGGTGTCAACACTTTCCCCACCCTTGAATATAGTCTTCTTTGCAGCTATGTTGCTTCAATTGTTTGCCATCTTGTCTTGTTTCCTATACGACTGTTTTCTCTTGGCCAAATGGAGTGGCTTCAGGAGTTGGTTTTTCTTGACTATCCTATTACTTAAGTTATAAGGGGAGCATTGGAGCAATCAATTAAGTCGTCTCCGTATGGATTCGTGCCGTGGAAACACCCATTGATGCTTGCGTCAGTGTAGGCAGCCTACATTAAGCCCCTTGGTTTCTGGCCCTTCCTCGGACCATGCGTGAATGTGAGATGTTTTGTGCAACTGGTCATCCTTTTTCTTTTTTATTAGTGGTAAAGGTATTGTATTAAAGTTCAGCAAAATGCTGCAAAGAGGAGTCACTGTCTCATTGAGAATCTGTCTGTTTTGAGGCGCACCGTATCATTGTTGTAATGAGTGTACAAACAAAGTAAACTTACACTATTTATGAAATTTGTTGATTGTAAAAAGCCCAATTTTTCATCGAAGGAGGTTCGGATGAATCCTCACACGCCATGTAACTTCGCTTCTACATGGGGTGGGGTTATCTTGGAGGAATGGGATTTTGGTTGAATTTCTTGAGGAAAAAGGAAATATGAGAGAGTTTCAAGAAGTCTTATTAAAAAGAAATACTCTTATCATACATCTTTGATCGATACGTTTTATGTCGGGTATTTGAGTTGATATCGAGTATAAGAATTAAAGAGCGACTTTTGATATCTAAAGGTTTTCAACTTCAAGACTTAAGTAACTACAAGGTGAATTTATCTTGGCAGTATTTGTGTTATGTCAAGCATATTTTATCCCCTTTATAATATCGTACAAGTAGTGTATTATCATAATTTTAAGTTAAATTATAATTATATTCTCACTAAATAACATCTTCTCTTCTTTGCAATATGGGAAAAGGACCAATTTAATTCGGCATGGTTTAGTAGTCTGAAGTTCGGTTTTGGTATGATAAGTCGGTAATTATAGTTTGTTCAACTTTGACTAGTATGTACTTATATAATATAGTGTTATGACTTTGATAATTCAAAAAGGGTCTCAATTGTATCATACAATCACATTACATATATCGAAAAATATATTCAAAAGTAAGTACAAATAACTCATTTTGTTAATCAATTACATTTCAGTCATAATAGAATAGTCAAAGTTTTAACTTCTAAATATTTAGTTTATATTAATACTAGGTTGCATATTTGTTATTAATATTTTAATAATATATATGTTATTTAAGTAACTATATACTTCAATAAGGTATTCAATATTTCAATCGAATACCGTATTGAATATCAAATAAAATTTAAAATGTATATAGCATACAAAATATCATAATACCGAAATCACGGTATCAGAAAATTTGATATGCTATGGTAATTCGGTATATACCATACCATGCCCACTCCTACCCTTTAACAACCTAAATAACTCAAAAATATCCTTTAATTTCGAGTGTGCAAAGACAAACACTTGGTATAAAGTTGATTAAGCACATATCTTACATGGTGGCTCACACGAATTACCACGTATGACATATGTATCTAATTATTTGATTTTATACTTTCCCCGTCACTTTTATTTGTTATGTTGAGCTTTTTGAAAGTCAATTTAACTAATCTTCAAAGTTAAATTAAATTACATTAATTTAATATTTTAAATAAAAAATTTAGATATTCAAAAACTATACAAAAAGTACTATAAATTTCAAAAATATAAATTTCAATTTTTGCATATAAATATGTTGAAAAAATACATAGTAAAATGTTAGTCAATTTTTTTTTAATAATTTGACTCTAAAAAAGAAAATTATTACAATTAAAAGTGAACGGAGATAGTATCATCTAAAGTTGGAGGGCATAAATCTTAATTGAAATCTAAGTTATGTAGTACATACAAGATCATTTTCATGATAGATTTATAGATGACATAATAAATAAACATGACCCTTAATTTAACATCAGCGGATAACTATGTCCTCCAATTTTGAGGGTGTACAAGTCACTTAAACTTGTACAAAATTGAACAAGTAGACACATATGTCCTACATGACATAATACATGTAGGACGCCACGTAGGACACAAAATTGCCATGTAGGGTGTCATGTAGGACAAATGCATCTATTTGTTTAATTTTATACAAGTTTAAGTGCCTACTTGTGCACACTTAAAGTTAAAGGTCATAGTTGCTCGTTGACATGAAGTTAAGGGGCACGTAGATTGTGTAAGATGGAAAAATGACCAAAATAACCCCAAAGTGACCACCATTCAGCTGATACCTCTCTCTTACAGCCAGACCCAGTAGTTCGTGTGTGTAGAGAGGCTGCGAAGACTTAATAGGCCCTAGAGAGACTTCTTCAAATAATCTTTTTCTTCGACAATTCCCTCACATGCTCTCTTTCACTCTCCACCCTTGAGGTATTTTTTTTATAGAAGATTTCAGAACAAGGAAAAAGAGCTCCATTTTCTCGATCTTCATCTTTGTTGTCAAAGGTCAGTACCCTTTTCTCCTCACTCCCTTTTGCTCTTTTCGTGTTTGTAAATTAGGGGTTTTTGTTTTCTTGAAATTGATCTGTTCTGTTGTGTTTTGTTTGTTATGGTTAACATGAAAAAGCGTATTAGGGCAACAGATTTTGTATCTTTCTGCGACTCATTTTTTTGTCTTTTTCTTTGCTTTTAGCTTGTGGGTTTGGGCGATTCGAGCTCGTGTATGTGAATTTAGCTGTTTTAGCTCAAATCTTGTAAAGGGGTTAGCTTTTGTATGTGGGGTTAGCTGTTTTAGTTCAAATCTTGTAAAGGGGTTAGCTTGTGTATGTGGGGTTAGTTGTTATAGTTCAAATCTTGTAAAGGGGTTAGTACTAAGTTGTTTTAGTTCAAATCTTGTAAAGGGGTTAGCTTGTGTATGTGGGGTTAGTACTAAGTTGTTTTAGTTCAAATCTTGTGAAGGGGCTAGCTTATGTGTGGGGGGTTAGTTGTTTTAGTCCAAATCTTGTAAAGGGGTTAGCTTGTGTATGTGGGGTTAGTTGTTTTAGTCCAAATCTTGGAAACGGTTGAGGAAACTTTGATTCCTCATTTCTGTTATGCAAGTGAAAGTTCACTTTGTTTTCTACGCATATTGATGTTTGAAGAATGTTAAATTATTCTAGACATGTTAGCAAGTGGGAGGACAAATGATATTTAGGGCAAGGGATCTTAATTTTAGGAAATGGGTTAAAATAGTGTAGTGGACATATATATAGCGGACCCAAACTAGTTTAAGATTGATTTATGCTTGTTGTTGGTCGAATTTGCAGTGTGGTTGGGACTTGGACAAGTTAATCTGCTGGACAGTATCCTGGGGATTCTGCGTATAGACTAGATCTGAAGCTTGATTACCGGGATGTGGGTAATTAGCTTTGACAATTGCTCCTAAACTGTTTGCCTGAAGCAATGAACAATCGTTCTTGAGTTGTTTGCCCGAAGCATTAAATTCATTCATTAATACAAGGAGTTTACCACTCTTATCATATACTTCTAGATTAAGTGTGGCTAGTATTAAAAAGGAGAAAGGAGTATTGATTAAGAACACTATTTTAATACTCTAAGCTATAACATGCCCTTATTGGCGGTACTGCCGTATTGGTGAGTTGTTTCTCTTGCTCAAAGGCTAGTAAAGTTACAAAAGATAGCCTATAGGATACAAGGGGGACGTAAAAAAAGTACCATATTTCTAATTGGGGAACATAACATTAACATCCCTGGGAAGATGGTGGGAAGGAGCTAAGGGCTGGAGGGTAATAATAGAATCTTACTAGGAAAACTTTGTCAAAAATAATAGAATCTTACTAGGAAAATGGATTTGAAGTTTCTCTGAAGAGTAACAAGTGTTGTAGAGGAGGATCATGTCGGAGAATTATTGAGATCAATCATGCAGCCTTATAGAGCAACTCTACAAAGGAGCGTAATGAAAGGGTGGGCAGGTTTGACATAGATATCAGATTTAAGTAGCAAAATAAAGCCATAATTTTTTTTGGTCAGTAAATAAATTTTATTGATAGAAAAAATTAGTCAAGCACTAAGCTAGTGAACATTGCAAAGTGAGAGGTCCTCCTGTACCAAAAAGAGATAGGCTTTACTTTGGAAATAAGGCCAGAAATTGTGAACTTCTGAAAATGGTGCAACAATATCCCTTTTTTTTTGTTTGTAAAACTTGTCTCTTTGTCATCAAATATCTTGCCTACGAACAGTAGTACTTAGTCTTGCATGCCAACAACATAGAGATTAAAATTTATTTGGACCTGAATTTCGAAAGGAATTTGCAGTGCTAGGTGATGGAAGAGCTCAACAAGGTGATAGAATCATTCTACAAGCAAAAAACATCACTTATCGATAATAACAGCCCAAATGAGAAGCACGAGAGATGATCTTTTCTCAATTACGTCTTTCTATAACGTATTACTTGAAAGAGAACGGAGATTTCCCTTACACTTCAATTGTGTTACCAGAACTTCAAGGAATTCACCTTTCTTCACTTGAAAAATTACATGGAAAGCCATCTACGCAGCAGAATTTGAGGAGTACGATTTATAAAAGTTGGCGTTTCATATGTAGGACTGCAGGTAGAGAGTGTTAATAATTGTTGCTACATGGTTCGAGGCAAACATGTTATGGTGCATAGTGTGGAAGGTGTTTGAAATTGAATTGGTGACATCAAGAATAGTTAGAGAGATACTACTAGGGTGGATATTTAGAAGGAAGAGGCTGAGAATGAGATTGTTGAAATTAGCTCCTTTGTTTCATGTGGATGATATAAACAAGAACAAACAGAAGAGCATTTGAAGGAGTTGAAAGACCCTTGTAAATAGTTTTAGGTGGGTATTTATTGGTGCATCGGCAAGTTCAGTTCCCTCATGGAATTTGATGGAAGACTTCCAATATAGTTTGTGTCTTAAAAGGTTCACTGATATTATTGTTAATCATCCTTAATTAGGCGAGGCTTAAGTGATATTATCAGATGTTTGCGCTTCACTGATGCACATTTGGATGGTTAAATTGGTTCTGCTTCTTTCGACGTGATGCCATGGTTGTTCACCATCAGAAGTAGCAGTAGCAGACTAGCTGTAGCATGCTGTATAAAGTCAAAGCTAGTAGAAGTTGGAGACTTGGGATAACAAAAGAGGTAGGAGAGAAGAATAGGAGTATAAGAAGAAGGGGCCATTATTCAACACTAGAGAATTGGTCAAAAGAAATTTGGGTACGATTTTATTACCAAGAATAACTTGGGAATATTTTCATTGTATGCATCGGAGATTATTGAAAGCAAAATTATTAGACCTGTCATGACTTTTCTTGTTGAGAATTAAAAAGGAAGACCTGTCATGACTTGATTCATCAAGTGCAATAATTGACCTAAATAAAGTTTATTTTCAGCTGCTACTGAAAAGCCAAATGCGCCCATTAATTATTTAAGCATATCCATTGAATGATGCAAGGTTCAATTGAAGTTCTTTAGTCAAATTGTCTTCGTACATGAGTGCTGGAATCACATTTTTATATTTAGGCTCGCAAAATGGTTGCATCTTCTATGGCCGTGCATTAGCTGGCAACATCAGATGGACATTTTAAGTAATGTCCTTAGGATGCAACATAACCTCTCACCAGTGTTCCATTCAGCTGCATATGGTATTCTAGCCACTAAGTTGTCTTGTTGCCCTTACTAGTAGTCGTAGGACTCCTCTTGTAGTTTCTTGCTCTTCGATTTCTGTGACTATCTACTATGTTGTGTAGTTTGTTTGTAGTATTATTTTGTTATAGTACTGTTATGTTAGTTATTTTTTGTTACTATCTATTGTCCATACTCCATTGTACTTCCATTATGTGTTTTCCTAGACTCTCTTTGTCTTGAGACGGGGATCTATCAGAAACAACCTCTCTACATCACTTCTGAGGTAGAGATAAGGTATGCGTACACACTACCTTCCCCAGAACCCATTGTGTGGGACTTCACTAGGTATGTTGTTGTTGTTAAGTTGTTTGTGACGAGCAGTGGTGTGAAGTCTGTCAACAAAATTTAGAGGATTGACAACTCCATTGATGCCTCATCCTGCTCAAAATACTTGCTGCTTCCATTTTGTAAAAGGCCATACATCGTTCAATTCATAGAAAATTGGAAATTTTTGTGTCTGGTTCAGAACTTGTAGAAGAACCAAGTGAAGCTGGACTATTGGTTTGTACTCATGGTTTGATGCAAATTAAGTTTCCGAGTCTCTGGAAGCGTAACCACAGTGAATTTAGTTAGGATAAAGAACCTTTCCAGCAGTCAGAAGTGCCTGACTATAATGATTTGGAGATATGAATAGAGTTGTTGTTATCTTTAAGTGCTATAACATGAATATTTGTTCTGGTTCTTATTCTATCAATGGCGGTAGTTGCTACTTTTGTTTGTTCCATTCTTGGATCACAAGTTTGTGTAGCTAATTTTGTTGGATATTCTTTCTTCTCTTGAAGTTATTGGGAATTGGTGTTGCTGTCCCTAATTGTGTCTCTTGTCTTTTCATTTGGAAGGGGGTCTTCGGGAAACATTTATTATCTTACTTTCTTATATCAATCGAATAAAAGAAATGTAGGTACTTTATTTTGGTCCTTGTATTTGTATGTATAGCAAGTATTCTATTGCTGCTGTCTCTAGAGCTTGGGTCTAGTGGTAAGAGTGCAACACGTGACATTTTAGGGGCACCTCAGGGGTTTGAAGTCCTGCTGCAGGAAAACACCTGATATTTAAGTGGAGAGGAGTAGAGGGGCAAGCTCATTATCCACCAAGTATCAAACTGTTTGTCATTAGCTCTCGGGTTTTTTCTTAGTTATAGAAAGATTATTGCATAGCTACCAATAGGAAATAATACTAATATTGTATTGCTGAATCCATGCTTAAAAAACATGTTGTTTTGTTGAAACACTTCTTTTTGGAGAACGGTAACTTGAGTATTAAAGAAAATTAATACTTCTAGCAACTAGACTCAAAAATCAATATGATCTACTTACTCTTGAGTGCAATTTCTGATTCTTAGCATAGACTTGTCTTGGTTGAGAGATCAATCAAGAGGTCGCTATTGCATCAGACTGACTGTGTCGTTCCATTACTCTCTCTCTACATGTTTGTTTTTCCCAATAAATCAATCAATTGATTAATACCAGCTCTAGAGGATATATCAGTTGTATGAATCCTCTATATTAATCACGTTCTATTAGGGCCATTTGATTGTAGCACTCAATAATCGATATAAAAATAAACTAGAGGATCTGTACATTGACACTCGTAACACCAGCATAAAGATCTCTAACCAAAGTAAAAGCACCTGACAAACACTAGATCCAATGTATGTGTAACAACATGTTAATTTTGACTAATTGATATTGCCTTCATGCAACATTTTTCTTCTTCTTTTTCTATTGTTTTTAAAGGGAGATTATAGCTCTTACGAGACAAATTTTCTTTTTGTGATTTTAAGTCTGCATTGTCCCCTTTAGCACATCATATTACCACACCTATTGACAAGTGTATTTGGAAGTTTACATTCACATGACAAACTGTTTCATGGGATCTTCTCTTGCTTTCTCATCTATGTTTGCTACTTGCATATCCATCTTGAGTTTCATATTTCTACAACACATTCTGGATATTTGTTTTGGGTTTAGTGGTCAAACATTCACTCTTCTCCGGAACTTATATTTTATTTTGTTGTTTTTCCATTTTTTGGATTACGATAATCAATTTTCTATGAAAGTAATCCAGAAAGGGCACATGATAGTTATTTGTTACTGCTTTGAGGCTGCTTGATTCACTGAAATAGTAAAATCATGTCTATACTTTTCAGGTCTTCAAATATGCTTCATGAAAGAACTTAAATATTGCTGATATTTGCTATCAAGGGCCACTATGGGTGAAAATGCAAAAAGGCGAAAGTCTTTGTGGGATGCTGAAGAAGAGAGTCCAAATAGTCCGAAATATGAGGAATGGGGACCTCCAAAAGCCGACAATTCATGGCAGTCCAAAAGTAGATCTGGTTGGTCGTCTGGGGACAATGTTACGGGACCTGAAGATTCGAGGAAGGAAAACTATCATTACAAGAGCATGTCTCCAGCTTTTGAAAGGCGGGGAAGGCGAAGCAATAGCCACTCTCCAGATAATGGTCGGGCCCAGTCTCGCAGGTCTGTTTACAATATTTAGTTTAATGATGCATCGTACTCATGATTATCAAAATATATTGATCCCTTAGTTGTAAAACCTATTAGCTCTCAAGTAAGGTTGTTACTTGGGTTTGAGTTTTTGATGCATTTCATGTATCACAATTTGCAAAGAAAGAAGCTCTGGCTGGTGGGACGGCACTACTTCACCTTTTATATTTTAGTTTTACTTGCTCCAAAGTGTGTACATGTTTATTTGATTTTCCATCATTCTTTTGGTGCTCTCTCCCTTTTGCCTGATCTTCCCTTTGGGTTGAGGGGAAGGGGAAGGGGGAATTGGGCTAGAAGACATGGTTGATCATTCTTCTACTGATATATTGTGGTTTGTTTGTTTTTCATTTGATAGATACCCCGGTAGAGCCAGGAGCAGGAGCCGGAGCAGGAGCCGGGGAAGGGGAGAAGGTAGGAGCAGGAGTCGCAGCAGGGGACGGGACAGGTTTAGGACCAGGAGCAGAAGCAGGAGCAGGAGCAGGAGCAGGAGCCGGGACAGGGGTAGTATGAGAGTTCAGAATAGGAGTCGTAGTCCTCCTCACAGTTCTAAACGTGATCCATATGCATCAGGTGATAGAAGAACTGGCCTTCATATATCTTCCCAGGTATGCAGAAATTTTGCAGCGGGGAATTGTAGGAGAGGCAGTGATTGCAGGTTCGTTCATCCAGATGCTGCCAGTCATAGGGATGGAGGTCATTCAGAGGACAACTTATCAGAAAGATTGGGCAGTCGACCTGAGCGTGGGCATGTCTCAAGGTATAATGATAGTGAAGGTCCTGGGTACCAATCAAGGGACAGGCTTCCTGACATGCATCATTTGGAGGATGAGCTGCACAGAAACCGGAGTAGAGGTACAATTACTTGCAGGAATTTTGTGAAAGGCAACTGTCGCTGGGGTGCATCATGCAGATTTTCTCATGATGGGGCCTCAGGTGATACCTATGACAAAGGCACTCGGAGTACATCCTTTGATCATGGTCAGGACAATCAAGCAACCAGAACCGGAAAATCACTTTGTGAGTACTTTGCAGCGGGGAAGTGCTATAAGGATAATTGCAAATTCTCTCATGATGCCACATCAAGAAATCATGAAATTAGGCCCTCAGATGACATTGGTGGCCATAGGTTTGATGACAAGAATAACTGGTTAGATGGTCCAAAGTGGGATAATGAAGCAAGGCCCTCGGACCTTGTAAAGGCTAGTGGGTGGGATGAAAGTGTTGTGAGAAAAGATACTGCTGTCACAGTTCTTACGGATAGGACCACTGAAAGACCTGGTCATAATTTCGAAAATGAGAACAGAGCCTGGGGAACAGAACCACAATTTATGAATTCTGACACAGAGAGAGGTGTTTCCCCTCACAGGGGCAGTGCTGGTCATGTTAATGCTTTGAACATTTCAGAATCTTCTGTTACACAAAACTTTGCAAATGCTCAAGATATTCATTTCACTTCCCAAGCTTCTAATCTAAATATGGAGAGAGCTTCAGCACATGTCCTTGGACATAATTCAAATCAAGGAGCTCCAGGCATCATTCTATCTGCCACTGCCACTCAGCCTTATGGATCTGCTGGATCTTTTGTACAGCCACACGGACTGACAGAAGATAGCATTGCCAGAACACTTGGCTCTAATGCAGTAAATGAATTTATGAATCCTAGAGATAGTGTTCATCACGTCCGTTTGCCTGGGCAGAGCTTCAGTGGAACAGGTTTTGGTATGAGCTCTGAACATTCTGCAGTTCTGAATGGAACACACCAAGAACAGAATGTGTTCTTACCTATCCCATCAGCTGGCCACAATAAGAGAGAAGAACCTGGCACACCAGAGATGCTGGAGTTCAAAGTCCCACAAAATCTTTCCGGTACTGTTACTGGTGAGCAAGTACATCAAATGGAAACCTCTCCAGCATCTATGATAAAGAAATTTGAGGAAGGACTGAGGGAAGCCCAACTACAAAGTGTCTTAAATCCCTCTGGTCCTTCTGGAATGCTACCTTCAAATCCCATTTCTTCACTTGTTCATGCTCTATATGGTCAGACCAATCCTGAGATGAGGGTTCCAGATAACTACCACCCCCCAGATGGCTTAGAGCTGAATACATCTGGCAACTTTAAGTTGCCCCCTGACAATTCGTTCTATTTGGATAGAGATAGTAATAAGGTTCATATGGACCAAATGAATCAAACTTCTACTGTTGATCCTGAACTTGGAAATAATGATCAAATTGATGAAGTGAAGCAGCAGGAGAATAAATTAGTTGAAGTGGATGGAAAGGATAAACTAGCTCCCGAGGAGTCCAAGGATGTGCAAGAAAATGATCATCCAGGAGCTATGGATCTGCATGGAAAGGTTGAAGAGGGAAGCGGTAACAAAGATGAAAAGGTGATGCGATTATTCAAAAACGCTCTAATAGAGTTTGTTAAAGAGATCCTAAAACCCATATGGAAAGAAGGTAAGATGAGCAGAGAAGTTCATAAAACAGTTGTTAAGAAGGTGGTTGATAAGGTGACCGGTGCAATTCAAGGAGAACAAGTCCCTAAGACGCAAGAGAAGATAGAGCAATATCTGTCCTATTCAAAGCCTAAAATTACCAAACTTGTACAGGTGAGTTGCCTATTACACCGTTCATTCCTCCAAAAAATGAAGTTTTATTAGACCTTCCTATCTGTACTACCAGATTCTACTTTATCTCACATTGGGCTTACAATGTTGTTTTTTGTAAATATGATTTGTCATTGTGCACAAATGAACATCTATGTTACCCATAGGATGTGTATGTTTCTGTCTTTTTCTTGCTTCTGCTCTAGCCCAGGAGAGTGGGGGGAAGGGTGTGCATATGCAGTACTGAAGTTGCCACATAGCATTGAACTCTGTGCATAAGGGAACGGGTGTGCATAATGTGTTTATTGAGTTTTGATTGTACGTCTGGAGGTGTGGGATCAATAGACATTTTGCAAGGCTTGTTCATCCTTCATTTTTTTTGAGATGTTGATTACATGTTAACTTTCACTTATATTCTCTTGACAGGCATATGTGGAGCGACTTCTGAAGAATGAAGCTTGAGATGCCGTACTCCCCTTCTCTTCTGGACAAATCAAATTCAATAAGGACTTGATTTTCCAACATGTACTAGAAGGTTTAGCTATGTTAGATATCTTTGTTTGCTGAAATCACATATCCTCATAGTTTTCACTAGTGTGATAGATTTGGTTTAGCAAGCCGTTATATGTTATTCCGACCATTTATTTTCTGATTTACCCATGTTTGAGCATTATATGTAATTGGCCTTCCCTTCTTACAGATTCAATCACATGGTAGTTTCCTTTCTTAGTTGTGCTGATTTCTCAGTCTACCTGCTTATTAGCTTGTCCGTTTTCTTGTTGAGTCGATTGTAGTTCTAACTTCTTTATGATTTTATTAATGAGTACCTTTGTTTGTCTGATACAATATTCTGGTGTGTTCCAGTCTTTTCCTAGTTGGAGTTTTCAGTTCATTTTCTTTCCCTTCTTTATAAATTACTTGAAAAAAAGAAAATTATCAGTCTTGAATTTGCCCCATCTAGTGAAATTCATCTTGTAATTTTATTATTGATTGTTGATGCTATGACCAGGGACTTTGATCCCTCTCTTTCAGTACTGAGCTTGAAGTAGCCATCAGGTCTGTGGGTCAGTGTCAAAGGTCTGCAATGCGGGATGTGTGGTAGACACACGTCACGAGTTTGATTCTTGTTGTAAACCAAGTCTGTTGTTTAAGTGGAGAAGGATGTCACGAGTTTGAATCTTGTTGTAAACCAAGTCTGATCTTTAAGTGGAGAAGGATAACGGACTAGCCACAAAAAAAAGAGTTACATTAATTAACCTTGATATATGACATAACTGTTCAAAAGATTTTGTAGCTGTATTAACAGTCCTTTTTCTAACACGAGGCAAGTCTCTACCGCAGCGTAGCAACATCAAAAATCCCTCCTTTCTTCATCGGAGATGGATTTAAGGTGTCTTTGCGTATTCAACTAAAGTTGTTACTTTTAGTTCGAATTATGTATATATATTATAAAAATTTATACGCATAATAAGATCACACCAATGGTAAACCAACCAACTCATGATCCTGCATTTTTGTCCAACTCTACTTAAATTTCATGCCCAAAAAGGGACAAAGAAGAAGAAAAAGGTGTCCTCCAGAAGCATGCAAATTGCAATGAACATAATGTAAGAAAGCATTACTGTAGTGGGCACTGCGCATGGTGTTAAATAGTACTAGGTGGGCCAGCTGGTAAATCGTATGATCATCCACACACGTGAAAGGCAATTTGTCTAAAGGTCGGATACATAGACAATCTCTTAAAACTTGTTAAGTGGACGTTTGACTATGTTTCGTTGTAAAATTTGAAAAAAAAGTACTTTTTGACCTTTTGTTTTCAAAGTGAAAAATTTGTTTGACCAGAAATACAAATTGAAGTGATTTTTGACCTTTTATGAGTAATTTGAAGTGAAAAAGGTGAAAACACTTTTTTGTTCTTCGAATTCTTGATAATTTTGGAGTTGAATTTCAGAATTTTATGGCCAAACATGTTTTTCGGAGTTCAACTCTAGAAAAAAGTGAAAAAATTTCATGGTTAAACGCTTCTAGTTGAGCACCTAAACACATGATAAAACATTTCTATTAGACATTCACGACTCAAATTTTTAAATAGTTTCTGCGCATATTCTTAAAATCTCATTCTATAGATTAATTAACCACATAAAACACCACTCACATGACACGATTAAATTGACAAAAAATCCACATTATCCTCCATTTTTCTTTGACAAAATTTAGTGCTATGCACCACGCGATTGAATTGAATGTCCACTTTTTAATAGTGACCTCTTCTAATACTTTTGTGGAGATTTTATTTTTTAATTGTGATGTAATTTTTAGGGACCGCCACGAATAAATTTCAATCATAGTACTATTTTTATCGACTCTAAAACGTCATGAGCCTAAATAACTTATTTGTATCAATGGATTAGTTCAATTCAAAATTTAAGATAATAGGGATAATCAAAAAAAAGATTATGATAATTTTGTCGATGTAAGATTTTTCGATACGAATTCAAATTTAGTTGAACCCTAATACAAATACCAAACATCGAACTGAACAAATTAAACCTCCTTGTTGTGGTAACCTGTTATGCTAAATGGTAGATATTATCTTGCCTTAATGTCCATTATCATAATAATAAGCTTTTGAAAAGTGGTCCTAATTGAAAACACCTTTGTTTTTTTTTCTTGAGTGCATGAATGCTCTTAGCAAGATGGCTTTTTCATTTTTTGGATTACATTAGGTAAAATTATATTTATATATATTTAATCTAGACAAATACAATAATCATAAGGGCGTAGGGTGGAAAATTAAAGAGAATTATTGTAGGATATAACTTGTTTTCCTTACTTTTAATATGAGAGTTTATTTTTCTGATTTTTAAAGGACTCATTTTTTTTTTAAAAATTAATATTTTCTAGAATAATTTGACCAACGTAATTAACGTAGTAGTTGTTGGTAGCTTAATCAGATCGAGAACACAAAATTTATTATTTATGGATTTTGGGAATCATTAATTAAGAACTTATGTAATTATGCTTTTAGATTCTTTACCATATACTTATCATTTTAAAAGATGCACGCAAATGATAAATTAAGTTTTGAGTCCTTTTCCTTGTGCTTTTAAGGCTTAATGCATTGCCGGTCTCTTAAATGTATCAAATATTTTATCTAGACATTCGAAGTAAGTCTTGTTTCAACATCTCAACTCCTAATAAAATATTTTAATTGGACGCTTCTGATTCAATATTTTTTATTTTTCTTTTTTTATGAAAGATATAATTATATGCGGTTCATCTTTACTAAAACATAAGTTAAAACCTTCCACGTCATTATCATGGCAAGGGTTGATATTTGATAAAATACAAATTATACTATATGCAGTTTATAAGTGTGAAATGTGACGTTCACAAGTGATGGCTAGTTTAAGGATTATAAATAATTGAATTGGGTATGTATAAGAGTTGAGATCCATATTTTCTTTTATATTTCATTATTTAAAAATAATTCCCCCACTCTAAAAAAGAAAGAAAAAAATTCAAAAAAGTATAAAGACTCGTAACACAAAGTCAAAGGAAGTTCAATCTAGGTATAAATAATTTAACTTATTGATAGAAGCAGGATCAATATTTGAAATTTATAGACTTTGATCTTACTACTGAACTTATAATTTTTGACTTCGCCTCTATATTTATATAATGTAATTTTCCGAAAAAAGAATATCAATTGATTCCTCATTGACAAAGAAGGCTTCACCACTTGTCCAATGACTAATAAATTCTTTTCAAGTAAAAACTGCTATACAAATATATAAAATTATTCAACTTAATTACTTTATGATAGGGTCGTTTGGTGTGAGAGATAAAGATAAATAGTTTCGGAATAAAAAATAATCCAAAAACAAAATTTTGATATTTTGTTTGGTTATCAAATTTGAGATAACTTATCTCATCATTTATACCAATTTTTAATGATGAGATAATTAATTGTAAAATAATTTATTCCTAACTAAACAACATTATCACTTGTAAGAGTAGTCTTAAATAAGCTCATGGCATGTCTATATGTTTTTGTACTTATATGATCCAGCTTGCAATTGCAAATACTTTATACTTGCAAGGCACAATAATCTATTCATTTGGAATTGAGTGATAATTTTAATTTCCATATAGCTGCCAAAAAATTATTATTATATTTTATGTGTTTAAAAGTTCGATTTTCACAAGGCTATTTTTTTATTCTACTCTTGTTAAGCAGTGTTCACAACTAGGTAAAGGTCATGTGAAGCTTCTAATTTTGTCTTCTTTTATATTGTAAGTATGGAAGAGTGAGTCACGCAATATGAATTAATGGGAAATATTTTTATCAAATTAATTCATTGCAAAAAACGTAAAATAAAAAATAGATTTTTATTAAAATAGATATTTTTTCTTTTCTTGCTTATTGCTATTAAAATATCTATAAAAATAGTCGTTAGAATCTTTTTCGAGTAGCGAGTTGATTTCATAAGGAAGGAACCAAATAATCAATTAATACACCAAAAAAGATATCTCTTTTATTTCCCTTTAATTCAAACTTGAGCCGTGGGGAAATAATTAGCTTCACTTTTTATTGCCTGGATTTGAATTATTTAACTTAGTAGCATACACTATTGGTTAAAAAAACACCTTTTCTTCAACTTTTTTTTTTTATACAAAGAAGATAAAATCATTTTTAAAAATCATAAAGCAAAAAGTTATAAAGATGTTGTCCCTATTTTATCTGTATATCGGCATTAAATAAAATTAATATCAGATTATCATTGTTTGGCTAAGATTTGTCTTGTGACCCCTACGATTAATGAAATGAAACTATAATTGTAATTCCTTAATAGCTTGTCCTATTGATTGGTTTGGAGCATATCTCGATTCATACTCAAAATCTGATATTATTTATTTATAGGAGAAAAATGATAAATATATCTTCGAACTATTATAAATGGTAGTATGTTAATACTTTTCGTTATATTTTGAGGTTATTCATAACCCTACCGTCAATGGACACATATTATTATCTAAACGGTCTATCCGAAATCAATGTAATCCCTCCGTCTCATTTCATGTGAGCTAGTTTGACTTGACACAAAATTTAAAAAAGAAATGAAGACTTTTAAAACTTGTGGTCTAAAATGAATGATAAAAATTCGTGTGACTATAAATCATTTCATTAAGGGTAAAATAGACATTTTAAAGTTAAATTGTTACTTAATATATAAATGTGTCATTCTTTTTGAAACTGATTAAAAAGAAAAGTAAATCATATAAATTGGAACATAGGGACCCCCCATGACCTAAATAACTTAATAATTTTATACCACATACATCTAGATACATATATGTTTGCTACAAAATACACTAAAATAGGGAGAGAGATGACCAAGAGAAAGAAAGAAGCAAGCAAGATAGGAGGAAGGCGAGCCAAATTCCTAAATATATGCGAATTACACTATATACATGTATTGAGAAAGGCGAGCAAGAGAGAAGAGTGATGAGCTAGATAAGAGAGATGTGAGGAAGAAAGTCAAATACATGCGAATCTATTTGGATACAATATATCTAGGATAAATTACATTTAATTTTGACTCATGTATCTAAATATATTTGAACTCAATATATATGTCTAAAATCCAAAATCTGATAGGATTCATAATATTACAAACTAACATCAATCTAAACAATTAACTCGTAAACTAGTTACTTTTCCTATTTTCATCAATCCAATTCTGAAAGCAAAGGAACAGACAAAACAAATATCCTATTGACTAGATTAATAGGCTGCAAATAGATCTGAACTACCCAAAATTCACAATTCTATGGTTA